AACACACCACTCAGTGGATCTAATGCTTAGGATTGGGAGACCTGTATAAGAGTATGTGATATGGCTATCTCTTAGTTATGGATAAGCATGTCTACAGTTGATTTATTGTTTATCACAGATTGATGCCCTGACCAACATGCTGGGGGATTACAAGAAAGACGCCAACAAAGTGCAGCGAAGCCTCCAGCTCTTACGTGAGGCTCTTGACCAGGTGGTAGTAAACAGAAGACCAAAAAGTATTAGTGATAGATGATGTCTGTTGATAAACCCAGATGAGGTTACCTGAAGATCTGTTTACTAGGGATAATATTTTTAAGCATAATATGTGATGGTTCTTAGTTCTTTGCAGAGTCAGGATAATGAGATGAGTGTAAATTCTGTCATTTTTCTTGTTTCTGTGTTTTGACAGCCAAAATCTGACATTTTTGTTGTTTTGTTTGCTAAAAGAATCACTTCTCTCATCAGCATGGTATTATGGCAAATGCTGTTTATATAGAAAGACTTTCTCTCTCACCTTTTACATTTTTCTTGTCCTCCGTCTCTGGATATTTGGGAATCTCATCATTAAACGGTTATTCTTTTATTTCAAAACTCAAGCAAATGAATTTCAAATGAATGGACACAAGATATTAATGGGGAATATGATAAAAGATTCCCTGGCTTTGTTTTTTCTGTGGATATTACTACTGTGTAATTTAAATAAATTGGAGCACAAAGTTAGGAATAGTGGTCTATAGAATTAATCTAATCTGTAGAATTAGAAAAAAAATTGATATTAGCAATCTTCCTAAATTTGTTAATTTTTTTTTAGGAAATCAAATGGTTTATTAGTGCTTTTCCGTAATAAGGTTTATGGTTAGAGATTTCTGTGATAGAATCTTGTGTAGATGACACATTTCATGATATGTCACTGTTCCCATAGGTATGAAAGGTAGACTTTATATATAAGGGAGACTTTATATATAACTAACATACACACTTGTAGTTTCCTTTTAGGGTTAATTTATGCCTGGTTATTAATACTGTATCTTATAGTTGTCTTTCTTTGAAGCTGATTCAGTATATTTAAAGGAACCAAATCCTCTTTTTTTTTCCTGTATTAAGTTATGTATGATACATCTGGCCTGTACTTGACTAGATCTTTCCAGGGTTTGGTAGGTTATGGTAATGATGGCATCAACATCATCCTATGTATATAATTAAGGCTTTTATTTATTAGCAGTTTCGTTCATTTTGAAATTATCCATTTGAGTGCAGCTCTTAGTTTATATTTAGCTTGATTGAGAGGTAAGTGTGAGCTTCAGTTTGTACTGCATTTAAGTTTAATTGAATACTTACATATGCCAATATCATCATAAAATATTCAAAATCCACTTGTATGCTGTCATCAATCAGATTGTGACAAATGCCCTACTTTTGTAGTTCCTAGCTCTTCCTTAATTTTTATTGCATATTTACTTGTTACAATTATATTGTGAAAATCAAAACCTACTCCATATAACTATCATTTTTTGTATATGATTAGATGGACCTAAAAGTGTGTCTCATATATATTCCTTGCTGATATGATGGGAGTTTATATATTTGTGCATCTTGCATACATTAATTTTGGTACTTACAGACTTGTTATCTAAGATATTGTTACTTTTGATTAATGAAAAAATGGAATTGCCATACTTGATCTGCTTCTGGACAGTTATTCTTAAAAGTGTAATTTTATAAATTTTTCTTCAGAATCGATGTTTTCTATTAAGTATTGTTTAAAATTTGTTCCCCTAGATTCATTCTTTTAGAAAGTATTGTCACAAAAGAAGCAACTATTTTTAGTAACTACTTGTTTAGGGTGTAGATTTTGATAAATTAACAATTACTGCAGCTATTCATAGTCTACAATATTAGGTATCTTGTTGTAGTGAGATTTTTTCCAAAAAGAAAAGACAAGGCATGATTAGAAAATTAGATGTTAATGTTTTTTGCTATTGATGATTATCTGGTACGATTCATTTATAGTAGTATTCGACTTATACAACTTAATATGCACTCGGTATATAGTGTACCAGTACAAGGCATTTCTAGAATTCCAGAATGAAGTTAGTTATTGTAATATATACCTAGTGGTGAAAGGTCGGGGGGGAGGGGAAAGTTTCACTGCCCCCCTCCCCCTCTTTGCCCCGTATGCAAAGGAACCCCCATATGACAAGTACGAATTGTTTGATTTAAAATGTTTGTTTAAGAAAAAAAAAAAAAGTCAGATACATAAAGAAATTTTCATTTATTTTATATATAAATTTGTCATTAAACCTTAAGATGTAGGGAGTACTTCAATGGACCTAAACCTCAACCATATGTTTAACCCTCAAGTATGTTTAGCGATGCCACTGAAACTACCTTCTAATTGTGGAGGTTATCATACAAGGAAGTAATTTTCAGATCCAGATAATGAATTACCAGATAAAGGATTATAAAACTAGATGTTACTGATGAGAAATAAGTGTATAGA